TCCATTAGAGGCCCCGCCCCTTCCGCCTCTGCGCAGGCGCAATTGGGGCCACGGCCGGCGGAAGCCCCGCCCCTTCCGCCCCGGCGCAGGCGCGGTGGCAGCCATGGCGGCGGCCATGGCGACGGGGCTGTGCCGGGCCTTCGGGGCCCTCCTGCTGTCCTCCGCGCCCCGCCGCCCCCAACCGCCGCCCGGTCCCCCGGGAGGGTGGCTGGCGGCCGCCTGCCGAGGCTTGGGCGGCTCGGCGCCGCGCTGCACCACCGACCCCATGTGGAAGTGCCGGGTCAAGTACACGGTGCGGCCCGTGGGCATGAAGAAGACGGGAGGCCGCGACCACACAGGTGGGTGGGTGGGTGGGTGAGCGGGCGGGCAGGGCCCGGGGAGAGGTGGCCGGGGCCCGCCGGTCAAGCCGCTGCCTTGTCCTCGCAGGGCGCATCCGCGTGCGGGGGATCGGAGGGGGACACAAGAGGCGGTACCGGATGATCGACTTCCAGCGGCTGCGCTACGAGGAGGGGGCCCCGCCGGAGGCCTTCACCGAGAAGGTCATCAATGTCCGCTACGACCCTTGCAGGCGAGTGCGGGGCGCGGGCTCGGCCTGTGGGTTGCGCCTGTGGTTGAGCCTCCTTTCCCCAAGCCCACCGTGGGTTCCCCCCCTCCGTGCAGGTCGGCTGACATCGCCCTGGTGGCCGGCGGCAACCGGAAGCGCTGGATCATTGCCACGGAGAACATGCAGCCGGGAGACCTCATCAAAAACTCCCCTCACATTGGCAGGATGGCAGGTGCGTGCCAGGGGTGGCCAGAGTGTGGCCAGGAGGTGGAGGGAGGTCATTCTCCCCCTCTGCTCTGCACTGGGGAGGCCACAACTGGAATCCTGCGTCCAGTTCTGGGCTCCCCAGTTCAAGAGGGACAGGGAACTGCTGGAGAGAGTCCAGCGTAGGGCAACAGAGATGCTGGAGGGATTGGAGCATCTCCCTGATGAGGAAAGGCTGAGAGAGCTGGGGCTCTTTAGCCTGGAGAAGAGAAGGCTGAGGGGAGACTTATTCATGCTGCCAAGGATCTAAAGGGTGGGTTGAGGGAGGATGGAGCTGGACTCTTTCCAGTGGTTCCCAGTGACAGGACGAGGGGCAACGGGCACAAGCTGGACCATGGGAAGTTCCACTCCAATCTGAGGAAGAACTTCTTTGGGGTGAGGGTGGCAGAGCCCTGGCAGAGGCTGCCCAGGGAGGGTGTGGAGTCCCCTTCTCTGGAGATCTTCAAGCCCCACCTGGATGCCGTCCTGAGTGATGTGCTCTGGGCAGCCCTGCTTTGGCAGGGGAGTTGGACTGGATGGTCTCTAGAAGGTCCCTTCCAACTCTGACAATTCCGTGATTCTGTCTTCCAGTGTCAGCCAACGAAGGGGACGCCTACCCGCTGGGGGCTCTGCCGGTGGGCACGCTGATCTGCAACCTGGAGAGCCACCCTGGGAAGGGAGCGCAGTACATCCGGGCAGCCGGTGCGTCTCTAGGTGGGGGGACCCACGCGCTGTTCACCGGGTTTGGGCCCGGAGCAGATGGAGAAGAGGGCACCACTCTGGGAGGCGGATGACAGGGAGTTGCTGTCCTCTCTTCTCCCAGTTTTGGGTGTGAAACAGCCCTCTGGGGAGGCGGAGGCAGCTCTGTCCCATCACTGACTTGAGGTCTTGTCTTCAGGAAGAAGTGCTGCACAAAGGGCGATGGTGGGGGCTGTGGGGAGTTGCCAGCACAGGGGTGTGCTCGCCATGGGGTGGGATACTTTGTCCTGCTGCTCTCATGGCAGCTGCCTCCTCTTTTCTCTTGCGCTTGTGGCCAAGAAGGCCAGTGGCATCCTGGGGGACATCAGGAAGAGTGTGACCAGCAGGTGGAGGGAGGTCATCCTGCCCCTCCGCTCTGCCCTGGGGAGGCCCCATCTGGAGCACTGGGACCAGTTCTGGGCTCCCCAGTTCCAGAAGGACAGGGAACTGCTGGAGAGGGTGCAGCAGAGGGGATGAGGGGATGATGAGGGGACTAGAACATCTCCCTTATGAGGAAGGGCTGAGTGACTTGGGTCTTTTTGGTCTGGAGAAGAGAAGGCTGAGGGGGGATCTGATCAATGCTTATAAATACTTAAAGGGAGGGTGTCAAGAGGATGGGGCCAGTCTTTTTTTCAGTGGTGCCCAGGGACAGGCAATTGGCACCAACTTGAATAGAAGAAGTTCCACCTAAACATGAGGAGGAATTTCTTGCCTTTGAGAGTGGTAGAGCCCTGGCAGAGGCTGCCCAGGGAGGGGGTGGAGTCTCCTTCTCTGGAGACATTCAAACCCACCTGGGCACGTTCCTGTGCAACCTGCTCTGGGTGGCCCTGCTTTGGCAGGGGGTTGGTCTAGATGATCTCCAGAGGTCCCTTCCAACCCCATGGGAGTCTGTGATTCTCACCTGCTGCAGGGACTTGCGGCGTGCTGCTGAGGAAGGTGAACGGGACGGCCATCGTGCAGCTGCCCTCCAAGAGGCACATGCAGGTAGAGGAGCAATGCTGCCCCTGACCTGACCGACTGGACGTGCAGCCCTGGGGATCCCTGGGGAGGCCGACAGCTCTTACTTCTCTCTCCCCCAGGTGCTGGAGACCTGCGTGGCCACGGTGGGCCGCGTGTCCAACGTCGACCACAACAAGCGGGTGATCGGGAAGGCGGGCCGGAACCGCTGGCTGGGCAAGAGGCCGCACACCGGCTTGTGGCACCGCAAGGGTGGCTGGGCCGGGCGTAAGATCCGGCCTCTGCCCCCCATGAAGAGCTACGTCAACCTGCCGCGGGTCACGGTGCAGGAGTGACGCCGGGGGGGGTGGCCCCCCAATAAAAGCCTTCTCCCTGCGCCACCGCTTTTGGTGTTGCTGCTGCCTTTTCTGCACGGTACTTTCCCCCTCCTTGTGCCCCCCCCCGGGGATGTGTCCGGCTGTCTTCAGCCCCACTGGTGGGAGTGGGGTGTTGGGGGGGGCTGCCCCTGAGCGCGGTGGGGGTCAAAGAGAGCTCCCTGAGAGTGGGCACAGCCGAGCAGGTAGCCAGGAAGGTGGCCACCAGCCAGGGCGACCAGCTTGGTGGGCGGGGGGAGCACAGACCTCTCTGCCTCCATCCCCTCGCCGCTCCCCAGCCCCACTTCTGTCACTGCCCCCCAAGTGTTGTACCCCGCTGCCCCCCCCTATCCCATATAGCCTCCCCCCTGTGTCTCCAAGCGGTGCGGCCCCCACTGCCTGCTCCACCTCCTCCCTGTCTGCCTGTCCGTCCCGTCCCCCGCCAAAAAAACACGCCTCGGTGCCCCCCGTCCCATCGCAGTCCCTCAGCTAACGGGAGAAGTTTGACCCTGCGCGGCTCCCGTCCGGCCCAGGCCTCCCTCTCGCGCATGCGCTTAGGCCCTACCCGGAAGCGGCGCGGGGAGCGGGGTTGGGAGGTAAACTCGGCCGGGGGGAGCGCCTCTCCTAGGCCTTTCCGTTACGGGGTAGGCCTTGGGAGCGGAGCCCCGAGGTGAGGCAGCTCGATCTGCCGGTGGAGGGCTGCGGAAACCGGGCTGGCCCTTTCTTGGTGCCCTGGGAGCTCTTGCTTGGCCCTCGCTTAGAAGGAGCTTTCTTCCTGCCGCCTATGGCGGCAGGAAGAAAGCTCCTTCTAAGCGAGGGCCAAGCAAGAGCTCCACCGTCTGCCTTCCCGTGCTCACCGCCCCGTTTAACGGTTCGGGAATCACCGTGCCCTGCCCTATTATCTTCTTGCTGCGTGTGGGCTGTTTTCTGAGGAAAAGGCGAGCTGTGTCTCCTACTTGGGTAGCCTTGTTGTGTAAAAGGGGGCTTCCAGCACTGAGCTGGGGTACAGCTAGGACAATCACATGTTTTCTATGTTAGGCTGCCCCCATAACAAGCACCCTGAGGCATGGGGGTTGTGGGTTTCTAGCTGTAGGGACGCCACCTCTCCCCAGCTCCTGCTTTCCCCTCTTGTCTCTGCAGGCGCGTTTCTTGTCATGGTGAACAAGAGGCATAATGGCAACCTGCTCGTGCACCTGGGACCCAAACTCCAGGCCTACCCGGAGGAGCTGCTCCGGCAGCGGCGAGGCCACGACGGCCAGCCTGAGTACCTTATCCAGTGGAGTATCGTCAGCTTGGAAGAGAAGACAGTGGGAAGCAGCAGTGCCTCCTCTGCAGAGACCAAGCCGGAGAACATCTCGATGTGGATGTCGGCAGAAGAGGTCTGTGCCAGCTGCCCGGCGCTGCTGGGCAAGAGGAAGCTGGAAGGGCAGTGGGTGAAGGAGGAGAAGGCAGCCAGCCCGTTGGCTGTGCCGCTGGATGAAGCCTCGCTGCTGGAGATGAAGGCTGATGTCAGGAGCCTGGTGCAGCGAGCTGGCCGGCAGATGGCCGAGACTGGGGCTCCCGAGTCCTCCATCCTCAACACCATCCACGTGCTGAGCGCCTACGCCAGCATTGGCTTGTTGGCAGGTGCCTTCAAGGAGACGGGAGCCCTGGACTTGCTGATGAAGATGCTGTGCCACAAGGAGAAGCAAATCCGCCGCAGCGCCGGCAAGATGCTGAGGGCCCTGGCTTCGCATGATGCAGGTGGGGGCTGCTACTGCTCAGTGCCGCTGAGGAGGTGCAGCTGAGGGGTGCCAGTCCTCTTGTAGGTGTGGGATCATAATATCATAGAATCATCTAGATTGGCAGGGACCTTCTAGATCGTCTAGTCCAGCCATTAACCTAACACTGACAAAAAAACCATCACTAAACCATGTCCCCCAGCACCATGTTAACCCATCTTTTGAACACCTCCAGGGATGGTGCCTCAACCCCTTCCCTGGGCAGCCCATTCCAATGCTGGATAACCCTTTCAGTGGAAAAATTTTTCCTAATATCCAACCTGAACCTCCCCTGGGGCACAATTTGAGGCCATTTCCTCTTGTCCCATTGCCTGTCACTTGGGAGAAGAGACCGGATCCCCCTGGCTACACCCTTCTTTCAAGGAGTTGTAGAGAGCGAGAAGGTCTCCCCTCAGCCTCCTTATCTCTGGGGTGCTTGGGAAGCGGTGTGTCCTGGGTCTTGTTGGTAAAAGGAGAAGAATGAAACTGGAGCTTCCAAGTAGTTCCTTGGTCGTAGTTGTCTGGGGTGCTCTAAGACTTGGGAGCTCTTTCCCCTGATGGGTTCCCGAGCTGGGATGTTGATTAGGAGTGTTAAGGGATGTTAGGGGTGGTTGCCTCCTCCTGCAGGCCCAGCACCTTCCCTGCAGTGAGACCCTCGCACTCGCTCCAGTAGCTGGCACCACAGGCCAAGGGGCACCTGCACCCCTGGTCTGACTCCAGTCGCTGGCACCGAGTCCACACTACACCAGTCACCCCAATAGCTGGCACTCCGAGCTCGAAGGCTGTGGGACCCTCCCCGGATCTAGAGAGCCATGGCCCCTCCAATGGCCAGGGATCCTCACTCGCTCCAGTGGCTGATGCCCCGGGGCTCCCTCGCGCCCAGTCAGGCTCCAGGTGCTGGCACCAAATTCCTCTCGAACACGGGCAGGTCTCATCAGCAGCCGCCACTCGCTGCAGCACACACACACACACACGAGACAGAGGGATAGTTAGCAAACACTTAAGAAGAAGATGTAAGAAGGCAGGACAAACTGCAGCAGTCACGTGCAGGGCCACTGGCCACGGTTTCCGCGCCACTGGCCCTTTTTCTGTGCACCCCCATATGTGTTCCTTGCCACTTCCCTTCCCAGGTCCATCACTCCCTCCAGCATCCCAGACCTCCAGGGTCACAGACTTATCTGTTGCAAAGTCCTAGTTCCCCTGCAGTTCCTTCCTACCCTGTCAATTAGTGCAGCTGACTGGGTTTGTTTCTGATTATTGTCTTTGTGAACGGGAATTGGTCAGGCTATACGTCTCCGTGTGTTTGACTCCCTTCCTTTCCACATCATCCCAATTTGACAGGGTCCTTGCTCAGATAATCTTGGGGAAAAATGCTCATTCTCACACTCCACTTGTCCTTACCGCTTACTGTGACTGACCAGATTTGTTCCTCCTCATTGCCTCCATTAGCATTTGTCAGTGAGTTTTGTGATTCTTTATGTTCTTTATGGCTTCCTCCTTACTATCCCTTTTTGCTGTGAAAAAGGTTTCTGTTGTTTCTGCAGGGAGCTGGGCCTATGTCCTGCTGTCCCTGAGCCAGCAGGATGGCATCGAGCAGCACATGGACTTCGATAGTCGCTACACCTTGCTGGAGCTGTTTGCTGAGACAACATCCTCTGAAGAGCACTGCATGTCCTTTGAGGGGATTCACCTTCCCCAGGTAGCGGCTGTGGGCTTTAGGGGTCAGGAGGGGTGAGAGTGGGGTGCCAAAGCTGGTGTGCCTTGTTTGGGACAGGAGGGCAGCGGGCAGCTGAGCAGGACTGGGTATTGGGAGAGCTGGCAGAGGATCTGGATGTGGCTTGAGGCTGGGGGGTGGTGTGGAGAAGCACATGGAGAGCCTTGTCTCTGAGCAGGGAGGCAAGAGTGGGCTGAGAGGTGTCTGCTGCTGCCTGAAGGTATCACAGGAGCCTGACTGTGGATGAGCTGGTGGCTGGAGGTGCTCTGCAGGCTAGAGCCTGACAGCCGTGCTCGTTGCAGATCCCCGGGAAGCTCCTGTTCGTCCTGGTGAAGCGCTACCTGTGTGTCACTTCTCTCATGGACAAGCTGTGCGGTGGCGTGGAGCCGGGAGGGGAGCAGCAGGACTGCGCCGTGCCCAACCTGCTGGCCGAGGAGAGGAGCCGTGCGAAGCAGGAGTTTGAGTTCAGCATGGCGATGGCCAACCTCATCTTGGAGCTGGCGCACGTGATGGGCTGGGACCACAGCCCCAAGGCAGAGCTGCCGCCCCGAGGGGAGCTGCGGCCTCGCGCCCCACACTCCATCTTCCAGCACAAGGTCGCGTCCTGCACTGCGGCTGAAGCAGCCCCGGCTCCCCCACCAAAAGAGCCCAGTGCCTTCAAGACGCGCTCGGCCTTCCCCAGCCGCAGCAGCTACGTGGAGTACGTGCAGGCGAACCTGGCGCCGGGCGTGCGGGTGCGCATGCTGGAGGACTACGAGCAGGTCAGCGCGGGGGACGAGGGTGAATTCCGCCAGAGCAACGATGGCATGCCCCCTGTGCAGGTACCCTCTGCCGGCTGGAGGAGGTGAAAAGGGGCTCTCAAGGGGCCTGGCTGCTCCCTTGTGCTGTGGAAAGCACGCAGCCTTGCATGGGAGCGGTGGGGTTGGCCTTGGCCGTCCCTCAGCGGGGTGTGTTGGGCTCTCCTCCTCAGGTGTACTGGCAGGCCCTGGGCTGTACGTACTGGGTTCACTGGCACATGGTGGAGATCATCGGCCCTTCGGGGCAAGAGGAGCAGGAGGGCCAGGAGAAGGCGTCCACCCTAACGTACAACCACAAGCTGGCAGCAGGTGAGCAGTCGATCAGCTGGGCCTGCAGCTTTTCCCCCCAGCGCTTCTGCAGCTGCAGTGGGGACTCTGCTGCTGTGGGGTGGAGAGCGCGTTGCCCTGGCTGGTCCAGGCGCTGTGGGAACAGGTTAGGGGAGCAATGAGCCAGAGGTGCTTGTGCTTTTTCTGTTCTGCAGCCCAAAGAGGTTCAAGTGAAGGTGGTAATCCCCATCTCAGTGGGGTCTCTTCTGGGGTCTCCTCCCAGCGTGCTCCCCCTGTCTCGCTGCCCTCCCGTCACCTGCTTTTCCCCCGGCAGGCTGTGGGGCAGTGGGGATGTGGGGAATGGCTGTGCAGCAGAGGATGGGGGAATTGGCAGAGCTGACGGTTCCCTTCCTTCCTCTGCCCTCCTGCAGTTGGGCAGCCGTTTTTCTGCAAGCCCTTTGGGGGGCTCTACTCCCTGCCTTACCTGGGGGAG